CAAGTACATCGTATTGGTTCTCTATAGTAAAGCAAGACGAAAAAAAGGTTATGAAAGTAGGTTCCTGGAGTTCCATGTCATCTGTACAACTAGAAATATGTTCTCCTTAGTGTAAGTACTGGGCCACATCCAAGCTCCTCACACCAGTCTTTCCCCAATATATGGGAAACGATGCTGCAGCCCATCACCATCCAGCCTTGGACCCCACGAAGGAGGGCAGCCAAAACTGTTCCATGTGCTAAAGACCATCCTAATTTTTTCAAGCAACAACAAGTAGTGACTGTTCTGCCTCATTATCATAAGACTAAGTGCTTCTTGCTCCTTGAACTTAGTCAACACAAATGATGGATCACAGACAGCACAATCAAAGAAGAGGAAAGAAAGACCAGGAAAACCCAGCAGAGCAGCATCTATGCTCTTTTCACTGTCCACTTCCCATAGTGGCTTACTAAGGATCCAGTGAATAGCCACCTTCTAAAAATCCATGAGACCACAAAGGCAGTTCAGCTTAGGCATCGAAATTCTAGGTCTCCGGATGTTCTGGGGAAGAGACTCATCAGATGTGTCAGTTGCTTCCTGCTGGATAATCTCAGTCAAAGAAAGACAGTTCGTAGGGGGAATTTTTCCAGACCCCCAGAAACATAACCACACAAGCACAGAGATTAGCTTCCTTTGGAAACAGTTATTTTACTAATGCATTATCTCGAAAAGACACCGCAAAACATTATTTATTATTTTTGGCTGATTCTCAAACTCAACATCTCTCTTTTCAAGGACCGTGAAGTCAGAATGATAACTGCTGCACAACATAACCAGGCAAGAGAAAGCCAAACTCAACACCTCCGTTCCTTGCCATACCACTGCAGAAATGAGTTATCCTCGTTATCCTGTATATCACTCCTGCCTTTGTTTCTCGTCTGATGCTCCAGAACCACTTCCTCTGTGGCTGTCAAAGGGCGTTCTTAACTGGCCATAGGTTCAAACCAATACATTTTACCAACAATTCTTGCTCAATTTTCTACACCCTCCAAGCAGCTAAAAAATATTTCTGCATTTCTGTTGGCATAGTTTTAGAGACAAAAAACCAAACCCCAATATCTCTTTGCACAATGTTAACAGACGAGAATTATATTCCTTTTGAGTTTCTAGTCCATTTTATTACAACTCTCCCATCATTCAAATGCAGAATACAGTGACTCATCTTTTAATTTTTTTGCCTCCTGTGTTCCATCCCTTTCCTTCCTGCGCAAGCAGCATACAAGGTGACTGTAACGTGGAATAATGTTTCAAACTGCATGCAAGTGAAGTACTTCAGATTGTAGCTTTGGGGCTTTGATAATATGAAGTAAATTGGTCACAGGAGGAACTAATACTGAAAGCTAAACTCTTCTGGTAGATTCCAGTGGTGGTGGTGGGGGGAAATATTACAAACGTTAATTTGTGCCTGGACATTCACAAAGATAGCTACGTTTTGTTAATGCTGGCTTTCCCCAAATTTTCAAAGTGCAATTAGGAATCAGTAACCTGGATTGTTTATAGAGCTACTTCTCCTATTTCCTCCATCAATGGTGGAGGAAGTCTTGTCTATCTGAATTGTTCAATCACACTTAAATCCAGTGAAACCTACCTTCTCTCCCCTCCAGTTACTCTTCACCAGATAAACCCCTGGATGTGAATGGAAGCCTCAACTGGACAAATATATTGACATGAAAGGAATGGTGTGCTATGAAACTCTCAGTGTCAAGTCCAATCATGATGGACTTTAGTTTACTTTGATGAGGGAAAGCTAGCTACAGTAGTTAAATCCCAAAAGAGGATAGAAGGGATTAACTATCCATCTGCTTACCTCTTTGCGCTTTCAGTGACTCGGCAAAGGGACAGGACAGACTTCTCCTTTGCCCTTTCAGAACATAACCCATGTTGGGCAGCTGAATTGGGAACCCAACTCCTCCAGGATATCAACTACAACTCCTTATTTTCAGAAACTCACAGGTGAGGATGAAAAGAGATACAGCCAAAAAACCCCCACAAACCAAGAGAACACACCCTACAAAAAGCCTCATCAGAACTACAGGGAGATGAAAGCTGTGGACCTAAACCAAAATTTACGGGAAATGTGCGGTAGGTACTTCTTCAGGACAACTGCGGCAGTCGAACGGCTGCAGGAGAATGAAACAGGTCTGTAAACACTCACTTTTAAAAAAGGAAGCAAAACCTCATCCCGAAAGGAAAAGCAGTGATTAACTTTGATCTGCAGTATTTAATGTAAAGACTCACTGGAAAAGGATGTGCATCCCAAACTTGAACTGTGATTTCCCTAGACTGAATCCAAGCTTTGCCACAAGTTCTTGATTTGGATAGGAACTTGAGATACTGGAACTAATTCCAGCATCCTCTCTGGGAACCTGTTTTAAAAGAGGAGTTATCAGCAATACTTGCTGAACTTGTACTGAAAATAGACTTGACTTTGGAAACAACACAAGCCCTTGTACCACGGGAGGCTCCGTCAGCCCCCTTAACGTTTCAGTGCAAATCAAATGACGAGAAAAGCGTGATATGTGAAAAGGAACAATGGCAAACTCCTGCCATGCTTAGAAAGCTTTACCCGAGTAGAAAAATCACCTCACAGTAACTTCACATTCTTCAAAGATTGAAGATGAAAGTGATTTATTACAGAAAATAAGATAATTCCACAGTGAATGTTTCTGACTTTCTTCAAAATGCTCTAGCATTGTAGCACAGCTAAACCAGGAATCACTTCAATAAAACAGTAATTTGAGCAGCTACAAAAGAAGAAATGAAGTAACATGATTCAACGGAAGTCTCAGAAAACGAAGCCAACCCAGCGCCCTCCCCCGCAAACCCAAACAACAACAGCAAAAAAAAAGGTAAACCCAATCAATATTAATCAAAAGAAAACCTGGATTACTCCCTTTAAATTCACTAAGAAAAAAAATCACTGCAACAAATTAGCCTCATACAAATATGAATTTTATTTACAATTTTCCAAATTTGCAATCAAATCCAACTTCTCAGTTAAATGTGTAGCATTTCTCCTTTAAAACAAATTAAACGTTGTGTTGCTTTTACATCTGCGATATGGAGTTCATAGGTACATGCTATTTGGGGCATCTAATGGAACAAATTTAGATCATCGTGTTTTTAACACCGAAGGTATTCTGTGAAGACTCTTTCTTCAAAATCTATCTGCCTCGGAGACAAACATTGCCATAACCACTTTCGAATGACAATTAATTAATTAGGAAGGTTTAAAAACCCAGTATTTTATACCAGGACATATTGTTCACATATGCTTCAGGGTGTGTTACCGTGTTCATATTGCAAAGTTGCCTGCTCTATAAGCAATGCCACTGAAATCAGACTAAAGGTTACCCACAGATTTCGATATTATTCAATGTGAATAAAAATGGCCATTGATGACTTTTACTCGAGTATGTGTAATTATGGGCCAATCTGTACCTGATCTGGTACGAGTGTGATGTGATCCGTTCTGAAACTTGAAACCGCATGGGTCGTTATAATAAAATCTTTTACAACTGTATTGCACATAAGGTTCCTCAAAAGCACAAATCTACATGACCGTCTCCTGAACTCACAATTTACCTGCTAACTCTCATGAATAAACTCAACCAGATGGTAAAATCATTTGTTTTTTCTCATCCCAGTGTCTGTGAATGAAGAGAAGAGGGAGAAGATATATACATTTTGGAATCCATTCCATTATTGGTTTCTTGTGCATGTGATTTGTACTTCAGAGATGAGGATTTTAAAAAAAATAAAATAAAAAGCCAGACAGACCTTGGATTTATCTTTAAAAGTACCTCAAAAACATAACAAAAATTCAATTTAATTTTGATACATATTAAAACATTTTAGTCAGTTCTGCCCGACAGCATAACACGACAGAAATGCACAAGACTTTAAACATGCGTTAAAATGACATTCAACAAAGTATTTAAAATTTAATAAATAGCATACAATCACACACAAATACATTTCATACTGGATCTTTAAGCCTACTAAAACCAGACTGGCAAAGAATAAATAAAACAGTAGTTGACATTTTTGTTTTTAAAAGGTGTAGATTCTTCTTGTCACACTAGTAGCCATATATTAACCTGCTTATCACAAAATTGGAAGTTATGAGCTTTTTTCCACTGATCTGTTTTGCTCCAACATGTAATATTATAAAAAATTACACTAAAAAGGGATTTCTTTTTTTTTGTTGTTGTTTTAAACAACCAGTCTGCAACCAAGTAAACCAGTTTTTAAATATAACGAATAAATAGGGAATTAGTAAAGCAAATTCAATTGCAACAAAAATGCAACACCCCAAGAAAAGAGCCATGGAAATATATAGCCATTGCAATATTAGACAATAATAGTACTTAAAGTGATAGTGCTTGTGCACTAAGCTCGTTAGAGACCTTAATATGATTTTAGTGCAAATCCCTTGAGTCCAAACAAGCTTTACACCCTACAGTCTTCGGGAAAGATCTACTACCAGTTGGAACTTAGTCTGTAGTGTATTTGTACATATTGGATATTTAAAGAACTAACATACATTGTAATATCTTCGGCCCTTTTTTACTTCAAATCAAAAAGACTAATGACTGGGGATTTTACGTACTATTTGGCTGTACCATAGTAGACTGCAGTTTAGGAAAGTCAGTGCTACAAAAGCTTTTGCAATCAGTTTATCTACGAGATCTAAATTTCACAAATCATTGCATTTTGTACTTCTGAAACAAAAAGAATGCTCCTGGAGAAAGTTTCTCCTCCCTTTAAATAAATTCACATTATGATGAAATTGAAGAATATTTAGACAAAGTGTTGTATAAACTCAAAGAAAAGTACATATTTTACATGAACAATCCTTACCAGTATTTAGTATATTAAGTTACAAGTATGTTGGCAATAATACAACAGAGTCAATTCCTACAGGAAAATAATTCTGTACAAATTCACCTGTTAATATGGGGTTACACAGGCAGCCAAATCAGTCTTGAGCAGCCATGTTTCTGGTTTGAACTACAGTACCAGGATAAACTAAATTTCAAACTACCAGGGATAGCTTCAGTTTAAAGAGCGATCAGATGATACTGGATACACACCTCGTGTACTCAGAGCCATTCAGACGTTCACTCTAATAGTTCCATAACCTCATCCAGTATAAGAAATGTTTAATCAACCACACAGGCTAAAATAGTTTTAACATAATGTCGTCCTGGATTTTTTAAAACTAAAAACTATTTTTAACTGTGAAGTACAAAACAATGACAGATATTGCTCCAACTTGTACACAATCTTTCCTAAACAATCCGTACCTAGCAGAGTAATAATGCCTCATCGTCACTAGTTTCATTTTTCACGGTTGCTCCTAAGCAAGTGTCAGGTATCTGGGCAGTGTGCACGATGCCACAGCTCTCACAGGGGCCATCTCGACTGCATGACCTCACACCGTGATGTGTTGCACTGTAAGGCTGCCTAAGCCCTGGTCCTTGATCTGAGCTGAGATCAAGTAGAGGTCTTGAACAGTCATTTATGTCAAAGTCTGATGCTACATCAGAGACTGGAATTAACATTTCAACATCATCATCCTCTTCTCTTCCACTTACCCCATTATCGAGCTGTCTCAAAGGACTTTGGTTCTGATTCACTGAGCTTGATCTCCCTAAAGTAAAGCGGACCCAGCGTAAGCCTTGCGTCACGCGACTTAGCGCGCTACTGAGCTGGTGACGTGCGGGACTTGTGCTCGGGGGCTCTACGCTTGTCGCTTCTCTTCCACTCTCCGCGTTACCGCTGCCACCGCTCTGAGCAGAGGAGCTCCCACACGCTCCGACCGGTGCTTCTATTGCTGTGGCAGGCGGGACCTTCTGAGGCAAGGCGGCAGCAACACCACCAACTGCTCCTGCTGTGTCTCTTCTTTCATTTTCTGTGTCTGTATCATCAGATTCCACTGAAAAGAGACTTCTGTGAGGATTATTTCTTTCAGCTTCTCTACTAGTACTTTGGCTAGCAACATCATCTCCATCTGCTGAGACCAATGCCAACGATCCAGAATGACGAGACCTTGCAAAATTAAAAATTCGATTCCAAATGTTACTTGATCTGCCAGCAATAGGAAGTCTGATGGAGGTAAATCCCAACTGAGATCGTACTGCCAGTCTCAGGTTTTCCAGAACTGAAGCCTAAATAAGAAGACAAGGAACAATCAAGTGTTGACAGTATGTTGGCACTGTTCTAACAAAAGAAGAACAACTATTGAGCAAAACAACATATAACCACAAAATTCAAAGTAGAGTCTTAAATATTAAAAAATGTTGCATCTTTAATATTAAGGATCTGGGGTACATAGGAATAGGCTATGTTAAAAACAAAGCAGACATAAAAGAAGTCTGGATTATCTCAAGGAAAAAAACATTAAAAAATTAAAAACATCATTAAATTAAAAATTAAAATTAAGTGGAAATACATATGGAAGGGGAATAAAAGAGCAATGAAGTATATAAGGTACGTTTCTGCCCAAATCAAGGACTTCTTAAATAAAGGCAAAGTGAAAACCAAGGTGCTATAACTTAGATATGGAGCACTGACTACAGAAAAGGACGTCCCCAGACCCGCTGCAGACCCAGTACAGCAGGTATGCAAGATCTGTTAGATAAAGCAGTCACTGGGGATTTTAGAGTACAGTACATAGAAACATGCCTCAAAAAGTTTAGGATTTTGTCCTGGGTCCAGCTGGGATAGGGTTAATTGTCGGGATAGGGTTAATTCTTCGCAGAAGCTGGGAGTTGGGCATAGCCGGATATTCGATACCATGCTGACGTCATGCCCGGGATATAAGGGGAAGCTAGCCGGGAGAGGGGTCTCTTTTGTGAAGCTCGTGGTGGTGAGATTTTCATTGTATCAGTGTTTCCATTGTACTCTATATACTGTCTTATTGTTATATTCTTCTTTCTTTTGCTTTCCTCGTGTGGTATTATTAAAAATCTGTCATTATCTCAACTCAGGAGGTTCCACTTTTTCTTATTTGCCCCCATCTTACCGGGAGAGGAGTGGGGGGGGGGAGGCGGTGTTGCGACCACGTGGTGGTGGTGGTCCTGACACCAAGACAGATTTAAAAATGAAATCTTCCAGAAAGATTTAACAGAGGTGACCTTTCCTTATCCACTACCATGGGGCTGCCTAGAATAGAGACTAAATTAAATATCCTCTCTAGCAGAGGCTTGTAGTTTGATTTTTTCCCCATTCTGGCATAATCAGTTAATTCCAGTTTCAAAATGCTTTAATGCTTCTGTTTAATTAAAATTATCTTATGTTCTAAACCATGCATTTCCCAAATTCAGCACACACTTTCTAGTGATTCAGCTATAGAACAATGCATGCCTGAATTCTTCTGCTTAAAACCTTGTATAACTTTTAAACCGTAATGTAACACAAACCTATGAGCAACTTTGACTCAAACGTACAGAAAATAATGCCTCAGCTGAGTAGCTCAATTCTCAAATATTAGAGGATCTGCCAGATGTCCACAATTCTGAAAATAGTCACTGATGTGTTTAATTACAGGATAAAGTCCATAATTCGCATCTTTTAATGAAGATTATGGCAAAAATATAGAATATTCTTCAGAATAGCCTTTTTCTTTTCCCAATTAAACACTTGAAACATATGCATAGATTTGTTTACAAACACTGAACTTCAGTGTTCTCATGCTGTCACCTTCAGCTCCCTCCCACAACCCTTCAGATGCCACAGGGCATACACAGCACAGCATCCAAACAACCTGCCTCTTCCTTTCCAACAGTTCACAGAATGATGTTTGAATTCAAGCCTATGAATACATATGTTCCGGAGCCTTAGTTTCAAAAGCTACTTGAGAGACTGCTACCCATCCTTGAAAATCCAGCGCTGAAGGCACGGATCAGTCTGAGTCAGAAAGCACCGCATACAGATCACAATAACCAAGATTCCTCCAGCTGGAGACTACTCAGTTCTAGCAAACCTCCATCAGGTATCTTCAGGTCTACAGAGATTTGCAACCTTAAAATGTACGTATCGCTCAAAACAAAGCAAGCTGAACACGTCCTGCCCCCCAACACTCAACTATGTTAAAAATTTAATTTGAGCTTTATAATTTATAGAATTCCATCTACAATGCCTCTTGAGCTTTTGCTCTGATGTTCTCTCCTCTGGAAAACAATTTGTTTTTAAACAATGCAACTTCATTTATTAGAGTGAGAATTTTTATCATGGAAGCATCAATAGTCCAGAAGGACTTTTTCATTATTTTTGAAGGTGACGGCCTGCTCCCTACTTCTCCTTATTTTTATGCTAGTTAATTTCCCAGTATAGCTACCTAAATTTTCAAGGTCCTCGTAAAGGGATTTTCAATGTTCAAAACTACTGTACATGCGTAAGTACTTTTATGGAGGGTGAAATCATGGTTACACAGAAGGACTATGAAGCAACTACATTTTGTTACGTGCCACTACGGAAGATTGCCACCTTCAGTAAGTCTTTCAAATTCCATCATATTTTAGTTTTGAAAAATAATTCAAAATACATCAAAAGCAAGAGTATTTAATTCATTTTAAGTCAAACTAAAGAGAAAAAAAAAATTCAGTAATGGCACATTTTTTTTAAAACTCCAGTACCTGGAGATAACCATGATAACCCATCCAACAAGAATGAGGGATTCTGCAGTGTTCATTACAGGCACACATTAATAAGCTCATTAATAAGTTTAGTGTTAATTTAGCTACTGAAAGATCTTCATGTCTTTTTTCTGATGTTTTCAGAGTCTCTCATGCAAATTGGAACTTATTTTCCTCTTTTGCTCTGCAAAATCCTTTGTGATGGATCACAGCTGCTGCTTGTGTACGTGCGAGAGAATAATGGAAATCTAAGGTACACTAGCTTTGACGAAATCAGTGCTGTTCAAAAGAAATTAAAAAAAACCAGTTCCCCTTCTTATGGTCTTGTAACTATTTTCCTCACGTGCTCAGCTATATTAGCTAACAGTAAACTTTGCTGGATTAACTGCAACACATAACACAAGTTCATGCCAACTCTAATACAGCACCACAGCAGGATTCTTAGATTGAGACTTTTCTTCTATTTCACAAAAGAGCATTATAACTGAAAGCAATTTTTTTTTAATTAAAAAGCTGTTGATAGAAATTCATTTATCAACCAAGAACTGTACTAATGATCCATCTGAGAATCAAGATGGCTAGACACTATCAACTGCCATTTACCAGCTGTTACTCTGTTACTCATTCGTGTTAATTTCAGATGCTACTACAGCCTTGCCTTTGCCATCATCTCTCCTAAGCACAGAGGGCATAATCACACCTCAACACATCTGCACAGTGGATAGGAACGACCATTTAGCAGTAGAAGTCTCAATTCTTCTTTCCCAAGTTTCCAAGTGCTAGTTTGCAATCTTAACTGACACAACACCAACACAGAACATACACCTAGATCTACCAATCTATTGCTTTTCATGCGAGAGGGATTCTATAGCATCCATTACCGGCATTCATTAACAAGAAAACAAAAAGCCTGCAGATAAAGCTGTGCGGTGCTACTCTGTCATGGTTTTGTCCAATGGCTAATCCTTAGTGCAAGAGTATCAGCCTGGAAAGAAGACAAGGAAATGCTACAGAACAAAAAAAGGCAGAGTTAAAATATCCTTATTTCGGTCTCCTTAAAATTTATGTGGTCTGCCCTGCTATTTTGGAATCTTACCTGATTTGGTGAACAAACAGGAAAATCTTCAACTGGTGGAATCAAACCCTGGGCAATTAACTGTCCATAGGATGGAGGAGCTTCCCTTCTTAACAGTTCAGCTTCAACCCTTGACAAGTGAGTTTCAAATGATCTTTCAAAGAGAGAAGAAATTTCATTATACTTTAGACTATGGTGTGTATAGATATATATGTATTTAAAACTATATCAGATTATTATAACCTGAAATAATGAATTTCAGAAAATGAATTTTTACTAATTTAATTGAAATTTAATTGACAAAGAATATACAGTAAGTCTTTGCAGTCATTCCTAAGGGTCCATCCAGCTAAAACAAGAACCAACGCAACAATAAACTCCTAAAAAAACCCAAAACCAAAAAACCCCACGGGCTAAATATAAAAGGCACCATCAGAGACGTTTATATTACTTTATAAAAATTCAAGAACGTGTAATCCCAGTATGAGATAATCTACAATAGAAAAAACATGCTGTTAAATACAGAATGGTGATATTTAATTACAAAAATGCAGCCTTTCCACACTTTCTTTTTGCTAACATCATCTGAAAGCTTAAGTTAAGTTTAAGTTTAAGTTTAGTTAAGTGATTGGAATACTTCTGTGCCCCTTTTCTTCAGTGAGAGGGTGGCCAGTCACTGGACCAGGCTCCCCAGGGAAGTGGTCAGAGCACCAAGGCTGTCAGAGTTCAAGGAGCATTTGGACAATGCTCTTAGCCATGTGGTTTAGTTTTAAGTAGTCTTGCGAGGAGCAGGGAGTTGGACTCAATGATCCTTGTGGGTCCTTTCCAACTTGAGATATTCTATGATTAAGTAACCTCTTTTTACTGTCAATGAAGAAGAAGAAGGAACAATGTCTTTAGGAATCACATGCAACAATAACTGTATGTCAATAAAAATGTTTCAAGTATGACAATAAAAGATATTAAAATATTTTAATATCTTAACTTCTCGAGGCCATCTGTTCTGCTTACCTTCGCTCAAACATCCTGAGTGAGTACAATTTACACGTACATCCCAGTGCAATGACAAGCAGCAATCCGCAAATGAGACTCCCAATGACAGCTGCAGTTATCACTCTAGTAGGCACAATGACTGGACAATTTTCTTCATCGCTGCCATCGCCACAGTCATCTTGAGAATCACAAACCCAGCTCTCAAACACACAGCGGTTATTTTTACAATGAAAATTTCCTGGCTGACAGAAGAAACAATTTTTTTCATCGGAACCGTTAGGGCAATGATTCTGGTAGTTGCAGCGATCTGAACGAGGGTAGCAAACACCATTTCGAGAGCAGGGAAACTCATCTCTCTGGCACATGGTGCAGTTGGTTTCATCCCTTCCATTTGGACAGTGCCAGTAGCCATCGCAGCGTTGCTGCTCTGTGTAGCAACCCCAATTTCCACCGCACGGTATTTCCCAGGGCAAACAGAAGCCATCTACTTGGTAGGTGGCATTGAATCCTCTTGCAGCATTCACTTTGTCAGCACAAAAATGCACTCGTATCTGTCCTGAGGATGAAACAACTGTGAGGGGAGCATGAGAGTCAAACGCTGTTAGCACACGCAACAGCCTCCGTGGATTCTCCTCCAACCCATCATATATTTTGACATAGTCTCCATAACCTGTACCATCAAGTTTAAAATCAGTGAATCGCAAAATTACTTTGCGATGATCACCAGTGTCTATCAGCCAGGTGCAGTTGCTTCCAGGTGGATAGAAGTCAGGATAGTTGGGAGAACTGAAAGTACCATAAAAGTATTTTAACCACTGCCCACATGTTGGCACGTCACAGTCTATTTCATCTCCTAGGTCAAGACAATCGATGTTACCGTCACATTTTAAAGATTCTGGGAGGCAAGTGTAAAGCTTGGTGAAGCGAGAAAGACACTGAAACTGATCGGAAGCACAGGGTTGGAAGGAAGAAGTTGTCGGAGGACTGGTTTTGGCACAGATTTCTTCATCCGAGTTGTCTCCACATTCATTCATATTATTACATTTCCAACTTTCTGGAATACACTTCCCATTAGCACAATGAAACTGGTCACAATCACATTTTGGTTCATCAGATTTTCCTGAAAGGAAAAAAAAAAAAAAGAAAAAATAAATTATTAAAATATTCTCTCTTTAGAATTTAGCACTTGTCAAATACTTGTCAAAAAACCTGCCAGTTGCCCGGTATTAATAGTGAATGCTTTTGTTCCCAAAATCATTCATTCTGCTTATTACTGTAATCACCAATTCCCTCTTCGAATATTCAAGCTGTGCATGGGATAAAAAAAACTTTACACAATGTTTATTTTCCCTGATTTCAATAAGCTTTGAATTGATTACAGGAAATACATATACTGTGCCCTGCTACAAGGAAGTAGTTCTTGAAACAGGAAACAAAAAATTAAACCATAAAACTGTACTAGGTATCCTTTCAAACATACCAGCGAAGTAAGCTAATCTGAAGCCTTTTCTGGAGATGCTATCATCTGAATGAAATCTGATCCAAACGTGATCCTGCGAAGAGATGTATGGTGAAGGAATGGAGGAGCCACACGCTCTATAGCCTTCGATATTCTTGTAGCTTCCAATTGTTAACCAGTCTGAGCTGCATCGTCGTGATCCTTGAACATCAAAATCTTGAAAGCTGAAAGAAAAAAGAAAAAAGTCAAAATTAGGACTGAACTGGATATTACGCAACCAAGCTGATCAATTACTACACATGCAAATAGAAATTAGCTGCAAGTTCTTCTTTGGTCTGAAATAAAAAGTTCAGCTTCTCTGCCTATGTAGGAATAGGATTTAACATAAAAGTATCATCACCACCAGGTTATGAGGACAGCAAGAATCCATTTTTTCAACCCAAATACTGCATCCACTGCTTAAAGAAGCTTAGTTTTGCTACAAAAAAACACATTAAAACAAAAAAAAAATCCTGTTCATTAAGTCGTCTTTAAGTCTCATTTAATCACTTTTATATAATACTAAGTGGTTTTATTTAACCTGAATTTCATCAGAACTTTAGTTAATGTATGATTTCTATTAACTATGATTCCTGGTAAGATTTTCTGCCAGTCGCACTACTCAGTTATCCGAGAGGCATGTGATGGAATGCCATGGTATGGCTCCAACTAGATCCAGACACGCTGTCATGGTAATGACGTGTGACCAGGACAGTCTGGGCAAAAGAGGACTGTACAGTAACAGAGCAGTAAACCAGAAATGAAATGAGAATGTCTGAGTGGAAAAAAAACAGTGTGAGAGGAAAAAAGATGAGTTTTATTAAAAATAAACACTGTAAAAAAAGTTTAGAAAGCATTTGAGTAGATGAACAGTTCTACTGACTTTACATTGCATTGATGCCAGCTTAATATTTAGTAGAAAGACTGTTTAAAGTAAAAAGCGGTACTTTAAACAATTAACTGATGTCAAAGCAAATACCTGATAATGAAGAGCTGCTTCCTAAGTCAGCAAGTCTGTACTGGAAACTGAAGTGAACACGCAGCTGATGCAGTTTCACGATCAGCCTGTGAAGCAGCACTAATTTGTGACTTGATGTTAAGCCTAGATTTCCCTTCTGGCAGTGATGGGGAATGAACTGATGAAACAAACCTACAATACAACTTCTTTAGAAAATGTATAAGGTACCTTAAAGTGTGAGGAGGTCCCTGCCCCAAAACTGCCATCATATCTACTGATTTACTATTTGTACCCTGTCATTTCTACGCACAGCGTGAGACTTCATAGCTATGAAGCATTACAGAATTTCCCCTGCACATTTTTAATGCAAAATTCTTCTATTTCAGAGACATTAAAAAGAAATCAAGTAAATGAACATATAGAAACTTTTGCTAGTCACCGATTCTCCAGCTGAAAACAAACGGTACGTAGCTGTGTGAGAGCAAATGACAGAAAAGGAAAGGCAGAGAACAGACCAAAAGAAACGTTTACAGGAAGGAAGGGGAAATCGGTATGTACACAACTGGTAGTTAAAAATGGCTAGTCAGTACTTCTTCAATCCATGTGGTTAACACAGAAGCACCGTTACCTTATAGTAATGATCTCCCCTGGGTTCGCATGGATGTACCAGCTACAGTTGATTCGGGCAGGATACTCCAAGGGCCACCCCGGACTTGTGATTGTCCCGCTTGGTGATCGGATTTGTTCTGGAATATCTCCACAAGCTAAAAAATACATATATCTTAAAGGCAATTCGATTAATTCAATTTTTTTTTTTCTTAAAGCCAGTGGGACAAAAAAACCCCACCCAAACAACGAGAACTAATCAGGGAAAATATCACAGAGGTAGAGCAATAAAAACATGGTATAAAGGTGTTTTTTCTTAAAGCCAGTGGGACAAAAAAAACCCCACCCAAACAATGAGAACTAAACAGGGAAAATATCACAGAGTTAGAGCAATAAAAACATGGTATAAAGGTATCAGGATGGAACACGTCCGTCAGCTGACAACTGTTTTCCAGTGTTACCAGTGCAGAAGTTTTTACTAATGTCAATTAGTACTACAGACTTTAAAAATTATACTATACAGACTTTGACAACTTTTTTATTAACGTGAAAGATTTTGTATTTCCTAATTTTATTTTTAGTCTTCCCAAAGACTCAGTTCAATTTAACCACACATTTATACCCTATGAAATTAGTGTGACAAATGCATCAGAAGGTGAAAAAGAATGTAAAGCAAAATAATAAAATAGCCAAAATTTCCTGACTTGGGAAGACCCAGTGCCTGGCCAACATTTAAATAACCCCTTCCAGCCCTTGGCATGGAAATGATCTCCACGTGCATGGTTCCAGATGCTTGGAAGGCACAGAGCCCTTCCTGCAGCACTCTTCATTTACAGATATGACAAGTTAGCTTCCCAAGAGACTGCTCTTAACAGGGACTTGGGTAACTACATTTCTGATAATGGGATGAGAAAGCTTGTATCTATAGAACTAATTCTATGCAACTGAAGTAACTCAGCCATCTGTACTCTTCCTTTATTATAGGTGTAGCTTTCTGCATGGCCTTAACTCCTCTCCTTGTCCCTTTCACTGCAGCGTTCTCAGCCCTGCTGATTTTGGTTCACACAAGGTACTCAAAAGTTCTGTGTGTTTGTTTTGCTGGATGTTTTTCCCCCCCTTAGCAGCCTTATATCCAACACCCACCAAATAGCGTATTCACAAATACTCTAGCTACAGAGCTTGACATTATGAGGAAGTTTCAGAGGTCAGAAAACACATGACAAATAATTGCCCTCTGTGCTTTTATTTTACAATTTCCTCACTGCTAATCCATTGCCCTCTGTGCTTTTATTTTACAATTTTCTCACAGCTGATAAAAACTTGTGAGCTCTCCAAGTTTACTGGTAGCACCATCAGTTACTCACATGAAATATTAAAAATGAGGAAGCATTTTCATTATTGTGTGATGACCAAAAGCTTTAAAATTTTTAAATTTTGAATATGTCTTTCACTAAAATAACAAATCAGAACTTATGTAGTGAGCAAACACAATGAAGAATGAACTGCTTTTGTAACAGGGCAACAGCTGTAATAATGACATTTGTTAACAGGTTATTTTTTTCCTATTTTTATCCACAGTCAAGCTTTTAAGGTAACTCTTCAAGACTATGGGGACCTGAAATTATTGTCTAGCTCTAATAAAATAAAAAGTTTATTATTATCTTTATTATTACTGAAAATATATATATATGGCATAACACATACATTCTAAAAATAGGTTTAAAAGGATTAAAAGACAAATGCTGTCATATGCCTGAATTTTCTGTATTAGCTTAAATACAGAAATCTAGAAACAAAAATAACTCAGTAATTTACTAGTTTTCAAGTACAGCTGTAAGAAAATTGCTTTAAATAGTTTTTCATATCTTTCTTATTAGAGCTTAATCCAAGCTGCACAGTTAAGTATTAACACACCGCAGCTATAGAACATAGGACCTGTCCTCAAATCTAGAGATGACAAAGTCTCAAAATACAGAAAGATATTTTATTTGAATATTCAACCAACTATTCACTGGAAACTTTTCATTCTGAGCAAACCCTACAGGTGGTGCTCTAACACCACACTATTTTGGAACACTGCTCCTGTGTGAATGATCTGGATATACTTTACATCTGTTCAGACAAGAAAAAATGGTTATTCACAATTCAATGTTGAATTAAAATATCAGGCTTAACAGGTTCAAAACAAAAACACATGCAGAAAAGTAGAAGCTTGCGGATGCTGGCAAGCAATTCCATGCACTACAGAAATGGTGCTCAGCTTAAAATCATTTGCCTTCAGGTTAAATTTATACAACATCCACCTGGTTTTAGATATTTACAAACAGACATATGAGATTTTGTCCCTGAGAACCTCTAAGGACGCTTTTAGATTTGCCTGACAAAGAAAAACCTTACACTAGCAGATAAAAAGAATCCATCCAACATATGCTCACTCAATTTTACCAAGTTCACCTCCAAAAACTTCAGCGTGCTATAAATGTACGTACAGCATGTGTCTGTTGAACGTGACCCTCCAAACACTGCTAGCAACTGTAAATCCTACGCAAACAGCTTTGCAACTTCCCACGCTGGCGCAGTGCATCCCAACAACTATACATCTGCCCAATCCAGTTCCTGCTGTAGCACGAGCAGTAACTCCTCCTTGTTACAGGGAAGAAACTCCACAGGGAAAGCCTGTATAGCCCAGGGAGTATTTTCAGAGCACCATGAAAACTGCCAGTTTTACTCAAATTCAGATTTTTTTTTTTAGCCTTTGTATGCAAGACCAGCCATATCCCTATATTTTCTGTATTCTTTTACTTAAGATGGCTTTTTCTCTGTTTCCAAAAGCTAACACTAAAGAGCTGAGGGCAAAATATGACCATTTTCAGCACCATCCAACATGGGGAGAGAGAAGCAGACTAAGGAGGGCACGAGAAGGCAAGAATGACCCTAGGTACTAATATACAGGGTGGAGCGAGCAATACTGTGCACTGTAGAAGAGAGAAGAATCCAGCTGAAGAAAGGGTGCATGGGACAAAGTGGGGGTTCAAAAAATAAAAAGGAATGAACTTGAAAAGGGAATGACAGCTGCCTTAACTCAGGTTTGCTGGGTAAGCTGAGTGGGCTTGCGTACTCAGTACACATTCAACGCACTGAAATCTCTTACTTGTAACTCAGGAGACAACAAATCTCCCATTTGCTTACAAAGGGTATGAAGGTCAAGATGAACAGTGCAGAAGCTGTACTTCAGAAGTGCTGTCGCTTTGAGAGAGAAGAATTCCTCAGAAAGATTTTTAAAACCAAGGATAACCTTTTGAACAGTTTTAAAGGGAACGGACTTCATAAAGATAATAGCAAGCCTTCCCTCTGCTTAACTAGGATGTTTCTTCCAAAGCTTTTGAGAATATATTAACACACATTTTATTCATTTGTTTGTAAACACGGAGAATGTGAGCAACATCAAAGAGGACACGGGATTCAAAAAACAATTCAGCTGACAGGGCGTAACACAGAAACGGATGAATAGAGGCAAACACCTTTCCATAAGCTGTGGAGAATTTGCATTTCCAATTTCAATTGCTAGTGGCTCCACAGGCATTTGTCATAGAGATCAGTTATGTCTATAGGAACTTAAAATTACAGGGAATCTGACTCGGTTTGGAATAATTTATTAAAAGAATTAAAAATACATAAGAAAACAGCAGAATGAAAATTGGAGGATTCAGGAAAAAAAAAGGAGATGAATTTGCAACCAAGGCAGAAGCACAAAACCAACGGAGAAGGCTGCACTGTAGAGAAGCAAATACACACCGTGACGCATGCCCAAGGTGTTTTCAAATCTCACGCTCATGGCTGTAAGAGTTTTTGGTGGGAACAAGTCCCTCCTGCACAACCATTTCTACACAGATGTTGTCTCTGCCTCCATTCCTCTCAGCTCCCCTATATTCTTTGGTACAATTCTGCTCATCCATCTCCTCCCTGTTTCAAACTCTTTCCTTTGTGAGCCTTGATTATTAACAATCTCTTTGCAATGGTTTCTTACTTTGCCTGACTCTATTCAGCAGATTGCAACACCTGAGTTGGGACTGAAGGTGTTCCACAGACTGAAGTCCAAAATAACGACCAAAAAAACCTACCGAGATAAGCTGTGCACGTGGTTTTCTGGTGTATGTGGATTTTCTTGTAGACTTTTTAAATACACGTACAATAGTTTTCCTTATTCCCTGCTTCCTGAAATTTGTTCACTGCCCCATATTACAGAACTCGACTGTAAACTACCTACGGGATGTTGACAGAGGAGAGCCACTGAAAACTTTCCAGTACCAAATTCAACTTGTGAGTTCTAAAAATAAAATAATTAAGAAACCTACACAAAAAATTCTGTAGCGAGATCTAGAGAAGTAAGTACCTGTAGTAACAGTGAACAACATGTCAAGGAAAAACGTCACTTCAGAAAAGCAGGGAGAGGGAGATTAGGGATTTATCTTCACGGTAATGCCAGGAGATTAGTTGAAAAGATAAAAGAATTAGCTTTCAATGTTAACCGCAAGACGATAAGGTACACATTATACTGGACATGGTAAGGACATGAATGCAGCTGGATAAATGATCTGAAGGTGTTTAAAAGAGCTTAGAGTAAAAAGAGAATAATGTTATGATAAAGTCTAAACCATGAATAGGGAGGATAATTATTGCATTTGTAACTCTCAGGAGCCACCGAAAGACTTATTTGGAGAACTACGGGGGAAGAAGGCACAGGAAACTTTGCCTCCAGGTCAAGCTGAAAAGCTTTAATTTCAAATGACCTTTGCTCTGCAATACAGAGACACATTTGGTAAAAAGGAATTTTTTTTTTTTTTTTTTTTTAATTGTGAACAAGTGGTTTAACCAGTGCTGCAGTTCTTTCAAACAGGGCTGGGGGAAAATGGGTTTGCAGTTGTGACAATAATGGTGCAACATACCCCAGAGACAGACCTGAAAATATTTCTCAATTTTTCAGATGTTGAAGGCATAAACACTTGTTCTGTAGTGATAGCTTACACGCAAGAGACCACATTCCATTATTGCTGTTGGTAAAAAAAGCGTGCCCATATATTAGAGGTGTACCTGCAACCTGGCAGATATAATATACAGCAGAAGCATAAATACCAAAGACCATAGAGGTCTGTGCTATTAAAACATAATTTACTAAGGTAGGTCATGTAGCTTTACAGCAGCAGCATGACAGGAAATCTACCATCAAGACAATCGTTTCATTCTAAATCCCTTCTCAGTAGCAACTGTCCAAGAAAATCACTTGCTTGGTTTCAACATAAGTTAAAGTTGGATTTAGAAAGATTAAAGGCCAGATGTCTTTGGTTCTATTTTACAGGAACTCTGCTTAAAATTGTTCTGATAAATATAAAACTGTCCAGGTATGCTTGATGAAATATATCATCTGGAAGTTCAAACACATGTTTGGGAGACCCAGACTGTTTCAAAGGAACTCAAAATCATCTAAGTTCAGCCCCATCTTTTATACTTGGGCCATACACCTAAAATTTAAGCTGTACACAAAGAGCTGTATGTCAGGAAAATGCCACTGATTTTGCCTACAGGCTTTCTTCTGGTTTTCATTAACAGACCGCCCCATCCCCATTATCTCAAATTCTTCAGCAAATAATTTTCACTTTATATAAAGACAGAAACTTTAAGAGTATTATATTTATTTTTCCCCAGCTGGAAAGCCATTTTAGAACATAAGACTGCCAGAACTACTTTTACTTTTTTTTTTTTTTAAATATATTTTCAAATGGAAGCCCTCACTGGATCTTTCCTCTCAGTAGTTAAAGGTCTGCCCACCAGCTGCTGTTCTCTTGCATGGAAAGCACATCGTGTTCTTCTCTTCCTGGCACTGCACAGCCAAGCATGCTGGCCAAAGGACTGAACGCAGAGTCAAAAATTCCATTCACCTCTTGCCCAGCAGATGCTTTTCTGCCTGTATTGCAACCTGTGACACAACTGTTGCAGTGAACAATGGGGTGAAGAGTGGTTAAAACGTACCCGAAAGCTGCACGGCTAGGTTTTAGGCTGTGTATCTCACACAATCCAATTCCAGCAGCAATTGCTCCAAGCCTGGCAAGTACCTGTGCTGTTGTTATTTACAGTGTGCCATAAATCCACAATATATGATGCTGCCTGGTGCATTACTACTGCTGAAAAGCAACACCGTTCTTCACAATGCAGCACAAGAACAGATAGCAAAGATCTTCTATAACTGGACTTCTGACAGTCTTTGAGCAGCAAGCAATGGAAGGGAAAAAGAAGGCAGGATGGTGTAGCAGAGACAATCCATCGACCATACATTTATCCAAAAACTTAACTGTGTGCACAAATAACAAAGTCATGTTTGAAGCTATACTGCAAGGATAGCTACAGCGAGATGTGGTGCTGGGTTGACGGTTGGACTTGACGATCCTTGAGGTCTTTTCCAACCTCAGTGATTCTATGACTCTATGTGCAAGCTATCGACAAAAAGGATGAGTTTGCATTTTACGCTTATTTTAGGAGAAGGGTGTGAAAATCAGTTTGATTTCCAGGGATTAGTGGCAGCTTCCCCATGAAAAGAACCAGGCTTGTATTCTTCTATCCACTGAAGAAGAACGTCTCCCTGTTTGCACATATTCTGAGAATCTGTATCATAGACAGGTAGAACAGAACGAGCAGCTTAGCTGACACTGCTTAACATCTGAAGATCAAAGATTACACACCAGTATCGCCTAATGCCTTCATGGACCTACAGTCCCATCACTAAATCAGAACAGTCCCAACGGCAGCTGCTGTAGCCACCGTTGAGCAATGTGTGCTGCTTTTATACCCCATGTTCTCCCAGCATCTCATCATTTTCTCAGTTTCATAACTTCTAAAATTCTTTTTTTCTTGTATTAAGGAAACTGTGCAGTCAAGTGTACAGTAGTTTCAGTTACTGCTTCAATCTAATCAGGTGAAACGCATAACTCCTGGATTTATATTATTTGATAGTAGCAGTGTCCAAAATTACATTTCAATAAATTTCATTTCACAAAAACTTCACTGTGGAAAGAAAATATCAACTCAACTTAAACCAACTTTTCTCTTAGTTCAATGTTTGTATGGAAAAATAATTAAGCAGTCCACTTAGAAAGGCATAATCTGTTCATGAGCATGCAGGTATCAATTTTATCTTATGAGAATTTTTCCATGTTCCAGTTGCTTCATTCCTTATTACATGCTGCAAAAGGCAGTAATAATTTTTATAGCCAAATATCTCTTCATAAGATACCAGGTGGCTTTCAATATTTACTATTTAAGTCATGCATGAAATTTAAACATTACAAAAAATGACTTACCCGTTGACACTCCTGAAATATGCACATTTTCAGAATGTTCTGCAAGAGCACCATTTCCTAAAATTAAACATAATGAATAAGCTAATTTCCAAGATAAAATTTGTAAAAATTCTTCAGATACCCTCTTACAGAACAGAAAGAACAAAACTGAAGTTATTTTAATTAATATTAAACACTAAAGGTCTTACGTTCATTTTATGATAAAACTTAGAAAAACTACAGAAAAGTTACTATGTACTGAAAATAAAACCCAGGCATTGTTAGTGTACTAGGACCAATTAAATACACTAGGAATGGAAGGAACAAGATAGTAGCAGAGAGTTTTGAGAAACTTCAGGCATTTTAGATGGTAGATTTGGCGTGATTTTGCATCACACATTATTTTCTTTTCAAGAAAGGTTTATTTCACTGCATCTTCCCCATCTCCTCCTGGGTCAAGATTTGTTTGTAAATGCTATGCAAACAAAGACACCCAAGGGAAGACACCCCTCTATTTCAAAATGAGTTGTAGCCTATACCCTTTCATCCAGAAAGACGTTTCAGACAGTCAGGAACTAGCTACCTTCACGAGTAACTCCCCATCAGTGGTCAGTAAAACCCTTCGTTTATCTTACACTTGCAAAGATGAACAAGACCCACGCGGTCATCAAGAGTTCGAGACAAAGAAGTTATTCCTCTAAATCTGATACTGCTTTGCACTCCTCCAAAGGAAAAGAAGTCTGCTAAAGCAAACCCATTTGCTGCCAGGCGGTAGCCCGGTACCACGATGGACCAGATCGAGTCGGATTTGTGCACATTTCTCTCGCTGAACAGCTCTCATTCTCCTCTCCTTTCTTCAGCATCTTCTCTTTTAACCCTTACAACACTTTTTTAATAAAGTCTTCGAGGCATTTCAGGAGGAGAAAGCTACTTTTCACTAATAAGCTCCTTTGAATATAGGCAGTGAACCTAAAATGTAAAATATATCACTAAGCAAATTTTAAACCCACAACTCTTCAATGCCTGAAGGTTTTGTACTACTGGAGATTAGCCATGTCACGCAGATTTTCATACATGTGAAATCAGTTGTTTTACCAGCACTGCAATGGAAGTGTGATACATTTGGGTAAAAAGAACCTTAAATACATGAAGAAAACTCAAATTCCTTTTATACCAAGCTTAAAGACTTGAGAGTTCACCTAGAACACACACCGCTCAGCCAGCATCTCCATGCTCCTCCACTGCACTGGTTACAAATAAAACATTGCAGAAATTGCTCCCTGGACTGACACTAAATGCACAAAGACAATTTCTTACTCCCTAAAGACACAATACAGTTAGAAACCTTTACGATCAGAATTTGTAGAAAAATAGCAAGTCTGATTTTTTTTTTTAAAAAAAAAAAAAAAAAACCAAAACCCAAAACCTAAATTCCTGGGCTCTAAGAAGTGACGGATTCCCTCCCCCCATTTTTAATGTACTAATTTTGCTTCATATATTTACATACCAAGCTGCTGTGTCTCCATTTAAAACAAAATCCACACTGTAAGTTTCCCTCAACCTTCAAAAGCCAGAAGTATTTTAAAACAAAAACTATTTCAAATACTGTATTAGTAAGCAACTATTTTTCAATTAAACTATTTTTAAAAGTAAAATATACCTGTAAGTTTTAAAAAGCTATTTTCCAAATAATTTCTCTATTCTGTATATAAACTGACATGCTAAGGAATGTTTGCTGCTTTGATTTCATGTCTTCAGTAACACTTAGCTCTACATTTACAAAATGAATCTTTGCTGTAAAGTGATTTTACATGTAACTGACTCCACAGAAACACATTTCTGATTGTCTCGTTTTCTATTATTTCCATCTACATAAGGAAAACATTAACACATTTCAAGACCTCTTGCCACTGAGGCACTCCATTGGTGCCCCCAGAATCTGAATTACAGATAAGCTGCCTAAAGACCAGGAAAACAAAAACCCCCAAATTTTAATGAAATCAGTTCTAACAAAAATACAGTAACGAAATATGAAAATACTGACATAGCACTGAAGTGATGGAAAGAAAAGCAATATATTCATAAAACATGGACAAATACTATAGATCAGTACTAACAAGCAGCACCCTAAAATGAGAACTTGCATCCAAATCCTGTAGACTCTGACTTAGAATTAATGGGTTAAATTAATAAAAATTAAGTCAATATCCAAAATGGAACACTTTAATATATTCCATCTAAAGATTCTTTATGATTCAACAATTAATCTCCTGACATCAAGTGGTCATATTTATTGTCAAAGTAACTTCAGTGATGAGTAAGAAGCAGCACTAATGTGCGATGATGAAGCCTCAACTCAGATCCAAGTACTATAATATCAAAATAAAGTGGGTTTTTAAAAAATTATTTCTTTCCCAATAATCCTTCATTACATGAAAGATGAACCTTAGAAACCTCTCAGATTATTACTTCCTTTTTTATTGGAAACTGTCACTGGAATAGAGTGTGTTCAGATGCCATTTAAGCGTCACTAACTGCTGAACACCTTTATAAAATTTTTAGGCAATGATCCTTAGATGATCTCAACAATTGTCACATGGTTCCATATCAGCTGAGCCCACTAGAATATCAATATATCAGATAACAGATCAGTAATTTCCATCAGCTATAGGAACATAATTATCTTTGAAATTCCTGTTAGTCTATTTAACACAGCAGAGTATGAGCATGTAACAAAATTTTCTTAGGTCATCAGTAATCTTTCATATTTCTTGCTGTTTAAAAGAAATAGTTGCTATTCATTCCTATCTGAACCTGAAGTTTTAAACTGAAACTAGTGCCACCTAACAGAACTTGACACAAAGTTTGTCTTGCAACCGCTAGTTACAGGCGCGGGTTAGTACACGTGACAGCCCAGCGCTGGAAGCTCCCACACAAACCCATTCTGCCTGCAAGAAACCAAGTTTGTTTTTCAAAAACTGGTATCTGTCATCCTTTTTTTTTTGTGACTTAAGAAAAAAAAAAAAATCACTTGTGTAACCAGGACTATACCCATCTCCTTTTATAAATACTTATGACAAATGGACTATTTAATTTAAGTGGTATTAAACAGAAATGCATGTCTACGTCAGTCCTGCAGCTTAAGATATGGTCAGCAACCGCATTTAAGTTAAAAATTTTAAATGGACAAGGCTGAAGATAAAGCCAAGCATTCCTAAAAAATGAAAAAAAATCAAAATACAATCTTTGGTAAGTAGGATTCTAGATATGTTAAACTACTGGTAACCTATAGGTTAAACAAAAGTACAGAGTACTTTCCATTTAAGTGCACATGAGTTTGTTGCCATCGCTGCTGGCAGTATCGCTAAAGATTCCTTAACTGCAATTTAAAAATAAAAAAAATCAGCCAATTGGTTATTAAATGAGTTAGACTCTTTATAGAGTGTGTTTACAGTATGGAACAATTTTTGAGATGCCTTTGTCTTGAATAGCCTTAAAATATCTTAAATGTTCAAAATACAGTTACAGTCAAAGTTGGTCACTGATTCTGATGGACGCATCCATAAAATTTTATTTTAGTTTCACAGCACAAAGCCGGTCCCTTTGGCCTCCGTCAGTGTTTTCTATCTCACTCAAATCCTCAGGGCTGAGATGCTGTCTTGTCTTAGGAGCAGGCACAAACAGACAAGAAGTAGTTCCATGAACACCTGAATTAATACCTTTTGATTTGTGTCTCACAGCTCACCGACCACAGAAGCAGGCAACACAACAGCAGGTTTGCCTTCAGGTTTTCCAGCAGTTGGGGCATTTCTCTCCTGTTAGTCTCTATGAAACTCCACTAAACACCCTCCACCCCAGCCTGAAAAACCCAGCACCCCGCCACATCCCTTCCGAACATCCGGGAGCCCTATACTGCTATACAGAGCCCGGAGAGAACAAAACTCCACGGAGGATAAAAACCACAGCCTTGGCAGGTATTTGACTCACTAACATCCTCTGAGTTTCATCACAGACAGGAAAATAAACACAGGCCAGGGCAGCGGGGCTGGCAGGAAAGTGTCACAGCAGCAGCAGCAGCAGCAAACGTTCCAACCAAACTGCAAAGGAAAAGTATTAAGGGGAAAGTCTGGAAAAACCAATGCTCTGAAAATCATGACACTTTGGAAAAAAAAAACCAGCTGCCACATTCTATATATCTGCAACCCAGACAGAAGCAGTGATGCTCAGACTGACACGGAGGCTAACCACCAAGCCTTCGGTTTAGGATGTCACCCCTTACACCCCCCCCCTTCCCACAGCCTCCGCACCACAGCTCCCTCTCAAAATGGGAAGAATCAGACCCAAAGGATTCTCTGCATACAACTGCAGGGCATGAAACTAAGCCTACAGTCCTGAAATGAGCTCCTTCTGAAGGTTTTACTCCAATTCATGCAGTTTTCAAAAAGCACAGCCAAACAGATCTGCACCCCCCCATCATCAAGCGTCCCTCTTTGTCAAAACATCCAGATTTAACAAGACAAGCTTCTGCACTCCACACAGAGGAACTTGGGGGTTTCAGACAAACAACCAAGTTTATCTAAATACTGATATATTTAAGATAGCAAATGATGACTCTTAAATGAAAACCTTGTTTAATTTGAAATTGACTAAAACTAGTAATACAAACGCACAGGGAAGCGATAAATGCTGTAAAAGTGCACCCCCAAAAATTTGGTACGTGCGACCTTGTCCACCGTGATTGTAAAATCAAATTTTGTAACTTTAGTTTGGAAAAACATCATTTATCTTTAGGTCTCAGTTAAATCCAGGTTGTGTTTTACAGATAAATTGACAGTGGAAATTAAAAATGAAAAGGGGAAAAAACCAAAATCAATCCGTAGTAGCAAACACCACATTGGAGTTACCTTTCATCTGCTGTTAGACAAGTAGCTATTGTACACAAGAAAAAAAAACCACACATATCTCCACTGAAGCTACATTCTTCTATAAGAAGATGAAGCCACTGCCATTAGCTCTAACAGCCAAATTACAACTCCCCTTTAAGCAGAACTGAATAAACTGAGGAACTGCTGTACCTGACTGGCTACGAAGAGAGTGTTTTCTGAACCCCCTTGAGCTAACAGGCGCACAATGAATGCTCCGTAAGCAGACTGGGCAGGATATTTCTCTTGAGCCACAAATATAAAGGACAAGAGATCAACACCACCTCCTGTATATCATGCATTTCCAAACACCCTTTATTACGGTATGTGTTCAACTTGCTTTACTTTAGACAATGTGCTTTCATGACCCAACTTCCTTTCTTCATCCTCCTCCCCAAATTCCTGGCCGCTCTGTACCTCCCCATGAGTGTTTCCACTGCCTCCTGTCAGCTGAAGTTACCTTGCATTCATCTTCACCAAACTGCCTCTAACTGACCAACTACAGATGATGCTACCAAAATAAGAATCTTACTGTACACTGCCACAAACAAACTGGTGCTGCCTTACATATCATCCCACTGAAAAGCCACAGTCCTGGGATACCCTAGTCCAAAACCAGCAATATCCTTCTTGATACAGAGACATGAGAGCTGGAAACATCCATGCTGCCCCTGTAATATTCCAGCATACTTCTGGCGAATGACCCCTTTTGTGACAGTCCCAGTCAGTGGGCATCCCACCCTCCCACTTCCTGCAAATATCTACGCACAACCGTGCAGAAACCAGCTCCACCCGAAGATGCCGTGTGTCAGGCTGAGCAGCAGTCACGCTCGGCTGCGGAGCCCGTGGGAGAAAAGCGCAAAGGTTAACTGCCTACCCGTCATACCGACGGTTCATCTGAGGTTAAGACGGTACAGCTCAGAGCAGGGCACGTGGAAAACCAACAGAAAAACAAGTACTACCACCCTTCTCCAGATAAACCAGATGATCTTTAAAGGTCCCTTCTAACTCATATCATGCTGGGATGAAAACATTTGTCCAGTACGTAACCCAAAATACGATACTGAATTATTGACCTGTCGGCCACACACAGTTAATGAGCCAAAAAAAATTTGCACCTGTATTTGTGAAACTACTGGCCATTAAACACATTAGCTGCAGGGATTTTATTCTGTTACAACATAAAAAAGCTATATATCCATGGGCATACAGCCACACTGCTACCAAACGCAACGGTAATGCAGATGGAGCAGTACCCAGTGAACCCAGACTAGGGAATTGAGAAAAGAAACACTTTCTACAATCTCAAATGAACATGATGGTACAAAAGGGACTCGACTTGTTATTTCATCCTTTATAACCCAGAAAAGTCTCTGAGAATATCTTTTTGGTTTTTCCTGTCCTTTCTTTTCTATCAGTGCAAACCTGTTACTACAGAAATTTGGACTTTGCCTTCCTCAGAAGACAAGAACAGAGCTCCATGTGCAACTTCAACACTGCTAGAGACAAGGAAATGAAACTGGAGCAAAGGAGAGAAAAAAAAGAAAAGAAAAAAAAAGAGCAGCCTAAGCATCTGAAACTTGCCCTCCCAGCACAGTTCATGAAATAAACAGCATGATTGCTACAGGGAATGCTTCAAAGGAAGGTGTGGCAGAGCTGAGAGTCCAGAGTTCACTGAAGCCAGCCAACATGTGTTCCATCTCTATGTTCAGCAGCAAAGCGAAGCAGCACCGTCATTCCCAGATTCCCACAGAAAGCAGTCCTAGCCTTTAGAGGTGACACCATTATTTCCTACCTGCTGATGGATTCGTATGTAATCGCAGCATCCTTTTGATTAGAGACAGGCATGAAATGAAATGAATGTGCTTGTGCACCAGTATGCATTTGGATGAACTACTCAAGGCAAGCTTCATGATCCACAGTCGTCTCATCTCTTCATCTTTATTGTTCTTTGGGATATAATGCATTGCACCTTCGACCAGAAGGTTCTGTCCCACACCCAACTGCTGCTCACTCCCTTGACAAAGGACAACCCGTACTTTGGCTCAAGTTCGTATATTTCATGACAAAAAGCAATTAAAAAAGCATTATGAGGAGCGACAGTATTGACTTTTAGGCACTAACTGATCAATAGTTTCCAGTTTAACTGAAGAATCGTTGCAAGACTTATTGACAAATTTTGTATTGTTTATTTTTAAATCAACAGTTTGGTGTTAACTGGTCAAGTGCAGTTCTTTTCCATAATCCCTTCGGGTTCACTACTGGAGTCACAGGAATTTCAGATGGTTGCTTGTAAAACAGCATTAAGCTGTGCAGCAAGATGTAAATTATCCTTCAGGTAAGGGAAGGATTAAATAACCATTTCTTTTAATATAAAATTACACACACAATAGACAGAAACATTAACAGAAAGCCTTACTGCTGTGCAGACATCAGCCAGAATCCTCCACCAAAGGCAAACCCAACAGAGTGACAATATTTATTCCAAATCCCTGTAACAGAAGAACATCTGCTACAAAGAAGATACAGTAAATACATCTTAAATGTCAACCAGTGAAAGCAAATGTTCACGCAAAATAAGAAACTGTTGTATACTCAAATACTACAATGGTATAATTAATTTCTTTAATTAAGGAAAGAATAAAAACGACTAACAGATGAAACTATACTGAAATAGTGGCTTATTTAAATGTGTTTATGTACAAAAGCAGGAAACAGGCACATAAAATTTCACTGTATAAACACATAAAGCACAGCGTTTGTTTACAATACTCAATGCTGTTATTTTATGTAGTACCATTTTTATTTTAGACCAACTGTGATGTAGTTTTATTTAGAAAACTAAGACAAGAACTAGAGAATAAATTCTGTAATGGATTTTTTTTATGTAGGCTCTAGATTCTTATTTTTATTTTTTTACAACAACCAATATCTACCATTTTGTGCTTAGAAAATTATTTATTGGGTTTAAAACAATGGGTATGGTGCTGCCAAAAGTCTGTGCTGTACACTTAAAACCTGTTGCCCAACACTGCATTTTAGTATCACCCCCGCATTCTTATACTGTCCTTTCCTCCTCACAGAGAGACTTTAAACAACATATGGCTGCATGACACTTTGGAAAAACAGGTCTGTATTCATCTCTTGGTGATTAAGCACAGGCAGGAAGTTTCCACACCTCCATTCACCGTCCAGAGCCTAAACCCAAAGTTAATCAGCACTTGAGTGAACAGCAGCGAATACCTTTATTCCTAGAATATTGATAACATTGACCTAAAAATCTCCAAACAAAAATATTCAACTTCCTTTACATTCTCTAGCCTTGTAACATTTTCCCCCCTCCAAAGAAGTCTGTGTTTGTGACTCAAAAATTGACTATTAAACCAGGTACTCCAAACATCACAGTCCACTACACAAGTGAATGCTTGGAACTGGAAGAATGTACAGTGATCAGGTCAGAACAGATCCATTAACTTTTCTACCAAAACATAACATATCCTTTATTCCTGATAACTTTATGGTGTTCACTTGAGATTTGTCTACATTAGGGTATTCAGTCCTCTGGGCCACACGAGAGCTACTCCAAGGAAAACCCTTCAGAACTCTCCGGCAGACCTTGTTTTGCTCTACACACCCGCTCCTGCCAGGCTGTGGGCTGTGCGAGGTGCCAGCGCAGGGACACCCCCGCCACCCAACATCCCCAGGGCGCTCTCTGCTCACCACACACCAAACTAGCAAGATAACGCCAGGTTCCTTTATCCTAGGTTGCAAAAGAGAAGCTAGAGTAGTAACTATAGCAACTCTGATTTAACGATGCAGGTGGAAAAAAAAATTTGGTCACACCTGTAAATCCCACAAGACAATTTTTAATTGAGTATACTGTCATTAAAATACAAAATTTTAAATTAATAACTAAATTAAGTATTTTTGTGTGAAACTTTCATCAAAAACCAGTTAAAACTTCTCAGTTGTAGTTTGAAAAGGTGGGGACAGAAAAGAACCTGCCTTTTTTTTTTTTTATTCTCACTCAAAAATTCCACAAACTATTTATAGATATCTCTTGGCAGCAAGCAGAGGAAATTAGAAATCTAGCAGAGACCCTGGCTCAGCTTCAACAAGATTCCTGATTTTAAGCACATAAGTAGTTCTATTCACGACCTGACCCTTCTGCCCAGCCAGGTACGAAGGCAGGTCAGGTCGTTACTTGACTGACCATTGCCTAGTGCAGCATTTCCGATTAGACAAACTGAGTATAGAAAAAAAATGGATTACTAAAACCAATTAAACAGTTCAAACAATGAATACAGTCCTTCAAATTACAGCTAAAGCTCAATTAACTTTAAAAAAGATAAGGAAATCAGAGGAAAAGGGAGTAGAGCAAGAGAGACCATACTGCCTACCCCATCCTCAAATCATCTTCATAAGGCTCAGGTGCCTACTGTTAACTGATTAGACCTGATCATGAATGCAAACCTAACTATTTGCCCTCCTGTTTGGAAATATTTCACTGCTGTATTACTTACAAACATAGAAAAACCCAAGGTTTCTAGCTCTTTTAAACAGCTGTGTTTAAAACAAAACTCAATTAACACAGGACCGTTCAGAGCACTTGCACATGTTCAGCTGCTGTGACTATTCTTTTCTTCTGAAATTCCATTTCAGATACTTAAAAGTATTTCACATTTGAGAAGTGCCAGACTAGGGGAAAATTCTGATGTGTGGGCTGCACAGTGCTTATACAGCAGGGGGAGAAGCAGTTCAGATTTGATTCATACTCTCCACATGCTTTGTACTTTTATCTACTACGGTTTCTTTAAATTGCTGTTGCAGTCAAAAACCTGGGTTTGTTTTTGCTCCATGCAGGTTTAGATTGATTTCCATCTTAATTTCTTATAACTACGGAAAAAATGGCAGTAGACAACAGTCTACATTCAGCTGGTATATTATATTAAAAACAAAACAAAACCACAGTCCCAAACACCTACAGTCAACCAGAAGATGTCAGGCCTCTGTCAGAAGGTAGATGGTAAAAGCAGGGCTTCAGATCATATATTCTTAAGATATAATATTGTCAAATGATTTTATTCCATTCTGTCTTGAAAAAGTGCTAACAGAAGAAATCAAATCATTATTCATAAACTAATAACAGCAGCCATCATAAATCTATTATAAGCTTGCAGAAATTAAAATATTATCTGCTATTAGCCCATGAATTCCTACCAGGAACCCTTAAAACATCCAAGCTTCTAGTTCCAGATGACAGCATGAGTCAGACTTACAACTGTTTTTTGTCCCAAAAAGACTGAAGTAATGTAGGAGTACTTGATATTGGGGGTGGAGGAGAATCACGAGGACTTCTGAAAAGAAGGAAAACACTTCACTGCTTCACTGCTGCATCTTTATTACGGAGCCTGCATCTCATGTGACCAGCATCTCAAAACAGAAGAGAAAAACACTAGGCAAAAAAAATTAAAACCCCCAATCATCGCCTACGATCCATCCAGAGAATAATGGTTTCAAAATACAGAAAGCTTGCTGGATTCACAAAATAAATAGATGTTGAAATTTAATTTTAAGTCTTTATTCAACAGATGGGCTAAGACCTTACAATTCAGGCAGAATTTAAGGAGGAAATTTCCTACTTCTGACACAAGCAAAAGCCGGTGATTGAGATACCTAACCACGATTTCCAGATTTGCTGGATTCTTTCTGGAACATTAGCCGGAGCAAACCAGGGAATTCTCGAGTCAAGAGTATATACCTGCTAAGCTTCAACTCTGCTTTCATGAAGGTAACAACAATAAATCAGAATTAACTGCAAAGCATCCCAGCTGCATTCACTGCAACGGCATAATTGACCTGAATACAAGCCGTTTACTGGAAA